CTGAAGCAAGAGGCTCTCTGTGAGTTTGAGGCCAGCCTGGGCTACATAGTGAGTTCAAGGCTAGCCCAAACTACATAGCAGGACCCTGACTCAAAACACAAACAAAAATGGTTTTGAGTTTACCTAACTGCTCATTCATTTTTCAGATTAGGAAGTTAGAGCCCAGAAAGATTAAGTAGTCAATGTCATAGAGGAAATATTTGAGTTGGACTTTGAAGGATAACAACAATAGCTTGTATCTATTGACTGTTCTTTGTGAGTCAGTGACTATTCTAAATACTTCTCATGGATTGTTTTATTTAATCTTCAAAAAATTTATTGTAAATAGGATTTCAGTAGATAGAGGTAGATATGACCTGGAACTGGTTAGAGAAGACAGAAAGAATAAGTAAAAAAGGAAAGACATTGTGTTGATTGTGTTGATGAGACTGAGCAGTCAGGAGAAACAATGCTGGACAGAGGCAAATTTATAGGAGGCCTTGACTACCTTGCCAAAAAAGAATGTGGCTTTTGTAAGGGGCAACAAAAAGAGCAGTTGTAGTAAATATATGACTTTAGGAAGGCAGGATACAGAGTGGAAGTAGTGGTTTAGGCATACTGCTTTGGTGACTTGCACTGGGAAGCCATTTGGACAGTGTTCTTCAAATCAAAATGGAAATCATATTTCAGGACAGTATTATAGTATTGTTACCATTAAAGTTTCTGTCTCTTTACTTTCTACTCCTATTCTATCCACTCAAATCTTATCAGTTTTGTTTTATAACTGGGTTATTGTTGGACTCCCTTACTAAAACTGGTCAAAAACCCCTCCCCTTTCCTACCTGGCAGTTGTTCTCCCCTCTTACGTTCATACACCTGCGATCTCCCATTAACACCCTTTCTTCTACTGTTTCATTCTTGGTATCAGCTGGAATCTCTGTCATGTTTCAGAACCAAACCCCATGCCACCTTCTCCATGCTGTCTGATCAACCCAGCTGGAACTGACTGCTCTCTTTTCCAAATCCACAGCACTGTATTTCATTACAACGCTTTGCCATGTTGGTGTGTTAGTCGCTCTTCTCTTGCTATGAAATACCTGATATAAATCAACTTGGGGAAGAAGGATTCATTTTCCCTCATGGTTTCTGAAGTTTCAGTCTATGGTTAGCTGGCAACATTGGTTTTAGGCCTGTGGTGAGGGAGAAGTATCACAGCAGATGGAGTTGTAGAGGAAATGTGTTCATCTCACTGTAGCAAAGAAGCAGAGGGAGTGAAAGCCAGACCGGAAGGGGCAGGGAACCAAATATAGTATCCCAGGTTCACCCTGTCATACTTCATTCCCTTCTTTTAGACCCCACCTCCTATTTCTGCCACCTCCCAGTAGTGATCTTATCAATGGATTCATCCACTGACGAAATTAGAGCCATCATGATCCAGTCACTTCTGTATCAGCTCTGAACACATGAGAGTTTTGGGGGACAATTTAGATTTAAACCCCAACATTTGGTAAACTGGCTACCCATCTACCAGTATTCTGTTTGTATCCCCTGCAATGGTAATACATTATTGCCTAGTTAATTTGTGAAGTTAACTGAAGATATTTTAACCCATTCCCCTTTGAGGCAGGATTACTATTATGCATTATTATACATTTTTTGCAACCCTGAGAATTTCAAAACATTTTTTATTGGGGATACTTAGAAGTTGGGAATAGAAAGCAAAGTTAAACACAGCAGAGGACTAGCCATTTATTAAAAAACAAAAAACAAAACCTTTGGGTTGTATAAGGAAGCCAAGGAAAATTAAACCTGAATTTTATTTGATGCACTCCTGCCCCTTACCTTGAAGAGATTTGGAACTGAACATAGGAAGAGCTTGGGACTTCAGCCTCTGGGTCCCTGGGAATCCAGAGAGAACTTTGAGTTAAAAACCCAGGGCATCCTGGAGCTGACTGTAGAGTAATGAGGAAAAAGATGTTTCTGAGTAGGCATAAATCTGCAGAAAATTGTGCTGAATTTGTAAGCGTACTTCAGAACTTGCCATAGAGGATGATTTTAGAATTTTTAGAGAATAAGGAATTTATCTGTGCAGTGCCCATTACGACTGTTGCAGGATGTGGCAAGAGTTTTCTGTAGGCTGTTAGAAGATTTTTTTAAAATTTCACTCATGACTTATGACTCTTATTTGGTCCCACACTACCTTAAGTTCCTCAATCACAGATTCTACTACTAGAATTTTCAGGAATCTAATATTGTAGGCTGGAGAGGACTATGACAGCAAAGTGCAGCCAGTATTTTCAGGACTGTTATACCTGGCTAAATAGGTGTCATATTCCACAGTAGAGTCGCCAATTCTCGAGGTTCCCAGAATGTGATATGGTTTCTCATGCCTATCTTTGCACCTGCTATTGCCCTTGCCCGAGGTACCTTTCTTCTCTCCATGTTTTGGAAAGTTAACCCAAACTTACCCTACATAATTTTACTGAGTTACCTCATTCTCTAAAAAGCTTTCCCTGAGTACTTTTTTAGAGCCACTGCCTTGGATCTGGTGCCACTCCTGCCTATTACCAGAAGCGTGGGTTATCATTATAATGTCGCACCATGTGACACTTGGAATTCGCAGGTCCTTGTCCCTGTGTGAGCTCCTATAATAGGAGCCCTGTGGGCGCCAAATAATCAGGAGCATACTTACAAGGCGACAAGGGCTCAAGAAAGGTTTTCTCATGGAATGCATAAATGTATGGTCTGTGTGTAGGAAAGGCATGTGAATCTGCGTCACAGAGCTGAGCTATCAATATTGGAGGATAATTTAGGATAATTTAGGATAATTTTCGAGAACCACAATCCAAGCTCTCCTTGTCTTCTCTCCACCTGGTAGAATGTGTAGCAAAATGTGCTAGAATTTCCCAAAGTGTTCTCCTATAGAAATATTGTTGGTACAAAGACCAGCCTAGAAAGCACTTTGCCTACATGTCTTACACTAGTAACAGCTCCTATCAAACACCATATTTAAGAATCGTGATTATTTCTACTATGGAGTATCCAGGGAGAAAAGCAGACTTACAAAAATACTTTTATCTCGAACAGTTGAGGTTTTGCTGCCAAACTTATTAAATTTACTCTACCAATCTTTCCAATTTGTAAAATATCCCGCTAAACAAGATGGATACCCACTTTCACGTACAGTGTAAACCAGCTGATAGCAATCTGCCAAACCCCCTGTAAGCCGCTTCTAATTCAGTTTTTCCTCTTTTTCTTTTTCCGTCTGGTGAGAACTCTATGGGTTTTTATGTGATTCAATTTCATAGTTTTTCACAAGAAAAACAAGGATAAGGGTAAGTGCGAACCCACGGCTATGTCGAAGCCACCTGTTCTCGAAGTACGCACAAGATCCTCAAGTAGACAGACACCGAGGACAGCTCTAGAATTTCGAAGACTGAGCTTTAAACGTTTTCCCCAAATGTTACGGTGTAATGGTAGTTATTCTTTTCGCTCCAGTTACAATACAGGAGTAAATATGAGCAGATAAAACACAGGCTTGAGGGGAAAAAACGCCTGTGTAACTGAATACCTGTAAATACTGCATTTATACTGAGCCCCATAGGTGGGAAACTGACCAGTGGTTTGAAGCGGAGCCTATTATTAAAACCCAGTTTCATGACATAAAAACAAGGCCTGGTAGAAGTTTACCCCGAATAGCATCTTGCCCCTGATGTCGTCTGGGTTCTTCATTTTTTCTTTCAATTTTCTGTTTTCACGAACACGAGTACGTGTTTGCGTGTAGTTTTATTTTAAATCCGGAACAGCCGCGCTCCCTGGGACGCGCGGCCCGAGCCGGCCGGCGGCAGCTCCGCGCCGTGCTCTCCCCGCGGCTGCCTCGCGAAAAGCCGGCGTGCGGCGC